CCCCCGGCCCCCGCCACCCCAGCGCCAGCCCCACTCACCCTTTCATTCTCCGCCCGAGGCCTGGCGTGGGCCGGCGAATCCCCGGCCTCACGTAAGCGCGCTCGCCGCCCGCCCTGCCTGCGCGGCCCAGCCCGCCGCCCTACGGGAGCCCGGGGATGTGGGCCGGGCCTGGGGCCGCCTCTGCTTACCTTTCAGCTGCTTTTTTTTTTTTTTTTTTTTTTTTCCCCTCTTGGGTTTTTTTTTTTTTTTTTTTTTTTTTTTCCTCCTTCCCCTCTTTTCCCTCGGCTGGGCTGACAGATCAGAGAGGCGCTGGCATTGGACTAGGAAACTCGCTGCTACTGCTCCCCCCCTGGGCTTCGGCAAGCGTCTTTCCCTGTCAACCAAGTGGGGTGAGGATCATATTTTTATTTTGGAAACTAAAAAGTGCTCCCAGGGTCCGTGATTATTAAGGGGAAATCCCTGAATATACTCTCCAGCCAAGAAGGCAGGGCTGCCGGGGCTGTACAAGAAGAGGCAGCAGCCTCCTACAGCACCACTACAGGCACTGCGAGGACATAACACCAGAGAGCAGTTCCTCTGCCCTCCGAAACGACAACTTTCCTACCATCTTGGAGGCAGAGGAAAGAGGGGCCAAGGGGAAAAGTGCACTGGCTCCGGTTAAAGTACATATTGCTACCTCTCATCTCTGGAAAAAAGTTCACACCCGCCGTCTACACCGGCGCCTGGGGTTTTAAAGCAGGGAAGACATTGAGAGTGCATTGGAAACGTTTTCTTTTGCTCCGTGGGGGGGACTCTTTCTGCACCTCCTGATGGAAAGAAACCTTTACAAGACACAGGTTTTCTGATATTGTTTTCCATTTTAACTTTTTCCATGTTGGTGACAGTGATATTTTAATTTTCTTTCTGGCTAATAATGATTTTTCTCAATCACAGGTCCAAATTTTGTATCTGGTGGTCAGTTTGTAAATTTTCACTTCAAAAAACGTGTTTATTGTCTTTATTTTGTTGCTCATTTGTGTTGTATATATACATATATATATATATATGTATTTGTTTTCACGTATTATAATTAAGATTTTGTGTTGCATAGTATCCGCCAAACTGAGGTTGTTGCAAGTCAATTGTAAAGAGATCTTTTGTTTTATCTCAAAGCAAAAATGTAAGTAAAACCTATTGCCTCTCCACAAAAGCATAATACAGCTGCTTATTTTTCACAATTCAAATAAAAGCACTGTGTATTTAAGCTCTCTTTGTATAGCTGACCACGTCTGTTATGGTGTGCCCAAGAAGAAAGATTACTGTAAACCTGGTAATAGATTGAAAGATGTTTTGGGTTTTCTTAAGTAAAATTGTTTATTAAGAATTACAGGATTTCATTTGAGTGCTTTTTCAAAATTTATGTAAATTCTTTAAAGTTTGGATTACACATGTTGCTGTCTACTGCTCATAACACAGGATTGAGGGATGTGTTTATTTTTGTAGCAGCATTGAAATGTTCAGAACTTCCAAAGTGGTGCCAGCCTGTTGAGTGACTTTTCATAGATTGTAAGGGGTGGTCATGAATACACTTTTTTTTTTTTTGATGAGCAAACTTTAGTACATAAATGGGATCAAAGTTAAACTGAGCTGAGCACAGAGGTGCCAGAAAAGGTGACGCTGGCTTGCATCCGGTCCAGCAGCACTGCTGTGGAGGAGAATGACGTGGAGAGGCATTTTTTATATTTGTGAAGAAAAGAACAGTAGAAAATGACCAGACTTTTTGTTATGTTCTAAAAGAATAAGGAATTTTATAACAAAGTTTCTTATTTAATTTTTAGATAGTGGCTAACCTAGTGGGAATGAATTTGTAATAGTAGTGTCTTGAATTTGTAGACTAATTTCTTCTTTTAAAATTTACTACAAGCCTGGTGTGGTGATGCACAAGTTTAATCCCATTAATTGAAATTTATTTCAAAGCATTTTGGAGTAACTGATGACCGCATTTTAAATGTCTGTTTTTGTGGGGCTAGAGGCTCAGCAGTTAAGAGCGCTGGCTCTTCTTGCAAAGGACCTAGGTTTAGTTCCCACCACCCACCTGGTAGCCAGCAACCATCTGTAACTTCAGTTCCAGGGAATCTTATGCCCACTCCTGACCTCTGGGGACATTGCACTCATGGGCACTTTTACTCAGGCAAAACTCATACACATAAAATAAAAATAAATTTTTTTTTAGTATTTTATTTATTATTTTTATTTTATGTGTATGAGTGTTTTGCCTGCACGTAAGTGCACACGTGTTGTGCAGTGCCCTCAGAGGAGGACAGAAGAGGCTGTCGGATCCCCTGGAACTGGAGTTACAGACAGTTGTTAGCTGTCATGTGAGTGCTGGGATTCGAACCCGAGTCTTTTGTAAAACCAACCAGCGTTCTTAACTGCTGAGCCATCTGTCCAGCTTATTACTCTAAATATTAATTCATGTAATACATATGTCAGTTACTATGAAATTTCATTTTATTACCTAAATTTTAATATAGTACCTTTTGTGAGCTTTGCTGCCCTCTTTGATTGAAAAAAAAAAAAAATGGTATTATAATTATGTGAACTTAACCAGCCCCTATCCTCTTGGAAACATTAGTTGTGAAGTTGTGCTATATTTTCAATTTTATTGTTTACTTTTTTTAAAAGATAGGATATCACTCAATGGGGCTGGAGAGATAGTTTAGCCATTAAAGCACTGACTGCTCTTGTAGAGGACCTGGGTTTGATTCCCAGCACCCACATGACGGGTAACAACTGTCCATAACTCCAGTTCCAGGGTAATTCGATGCATTCTTCTGACCTCCTCAGGCATTTCAGGACACAGGTACACTTAACACAGGCAATACACTCATACACATAAAATAATAAAGTATTTTATAAGATAGGATAGGCTGGGTGTGGTGGCACATGCCTTTAATCTCAGCACTTGGGAGGCAGAGGCAGGCAGAGGCAAACAGATCTCTGTGAGTTCCAGGCCAGCCTGGTCTACATAGCAGGTTCCAGGCCAGCTGGGGCTACAGGGAGACCTTGTCTCAAAAAAAAAAAAAAAAAAAGGATATCACTATATAGCCCAAGCTGGCCCTGAACTCATCATGTAGTTCAGACTGACATGGAACTCGCAGCCATCCTCCTATCTGTCAAGTTCTGGGATTACAGGCATGCACCACCACACATAGCACAGTATTTGTTTTTTAACACTTGGAGATAAAGCACAGTGGCTATAACAAGGAAATTAGTTTCCTTAACTTATATCTAGTGGACTTGAAAAGCATGTTTGCCAGCAACATGTTTTTCCTTCTGTGTGCCATAACTGTTTATAGATGATGCTTTCAGTGTTTCAAGAAGTTAAGCTGTATTTGCATTAAACTGGCTACATCTTTTTATACAGTCATCCCTCTTGTCACCAAAGAAACATGACTAGATAAGGCTATGATACATATTCATAGGACTTCAGTGCTTTTCTCTTTATAAAGCCTGACTTATAGATGTCTATAGTCCATGTTTATTCATCCTAGCTAAACAGCCAAAATTTGGGGGATAACAGTTCAACCAAGAAGGAAGAAATCCCACTTCACTTACAGTATGGGGAAACTTGACTGTCAAGATTTATTACATTTTGTGTGTGTGTGTGTGTGTGTGTGTGTGTATGCACATGCCTCTTATGGAGATCAGAAGACAACTTCTCAGTTCTCTCCTTCCACCATATGGGCCTCAGGAATCATGCTCAGGTTGTCAGTCTTGGCAACAAGTACTTTTACCTGCTGAGCCATCCTACCATCCCAGGATTTAGGTTGATGGTTAAAATTATTTCAAGTGCCATGTCCTAGAAGCTGCACATGCTAACAAAATTACAAACACAATTTGAGGAGCCCTATTTTTTTTCCCCAATGAAATTTTCTACTCAAATTCAGCAAATATTGTTGAGTACCTATCTTGATAACCTTCCTAGACACTTCATGTACGTGTTATTTTATTCTTCTTTCTTTTTTGATTTTTTTTTTTTTGACACAGGGTCTTGCCATGTAGTCCAGGCTGGCCTTGAACTCCCTATGTAGCCCAAGCTAGCTAGTCCTGAACTCATAATCCTCCTGCCACAGCCTCTGAAGTGCTAGGATTATGTGCATGCACCACCACATCCAGCTGGAGCTACCTTTTGTTATTAAGTGATTTTAGTTTTGTAAAAAGTGACCATTTTATGGGCTGGAGAGATGGCTCAGTAGTTAAGAACACTGGCTGTTCTTGCAGAAGACCCAGGTTTGAATCCCAGTACCCCACAGCAGCTAACAACTGTCCGTAACTCCAGTTCCAGGGGATCCAATAGCCTCTTCTGTCATCCACAGGCATTGCACGGCCCGGGTACACTTACCTACATGCAGGCAATACACGCATACACATAAAATAAAAATAATTTTTTTAAAAAATAGTGACCGCTTTATTGTGAATACTATAGTGAAGTTATTAAGAAAATAACATCATTCGGCTGGAGAGATTGCTCAGTGGTTAAGAGCACTGACTGCTCTTGGAGAGGACCTGGGTTCGATTCCCAGCACCCACACGGCACCTATGAACCATCCTTAACTCCAGTTCCAGGGGAATCCAAAGCCCTCTTCTGACCTCCACAGCATTGCACGACACTGGTGCAGTCACATACATGCAGGCAATATACTCATACACATAAAGTAAAAATAATAAAATATTTAAAAAAGAAAATAACACATCTTATCCTTAAGAGTCTGTCTCACTCGAGAGTGGTAACTCACATTAGTCCCAGCAGTAGGGAAGCAGAGGCAGGCAGATCTTACTGAGCTGGTGGACAGCCTGGCATACATAGTGAGTTCTAGGCCAGCTACAATTGCAGGGAATTTGTCTTTAAGGCTGGAGAATGGCTCAGCAGTCAAGAGCACTGGCTGCTCTTGCAGAGGACCCGGGTTTGAGTCCCAGCACCCACATGGCAGCTAACAACTGCCCATAACTGCAGTTCCAGGGGAATAGGACACCCTCTTCTGACCTGCACTTACATTCATGCAGGCAATACACTCATATACATAAAATAAAAATAATAATATATATAAAAGAATTTTTCTTTAAGAAAAAAAAGTCAAGCCGGGTGTGGTCATGCATGCCTTTAATCCCAGCACTGGGGAGGCAGAGGCAGGCAGATCTCTGTTGAGTTCA